ATCCATCCACTGGATCAAGCACATCTGTTGCTCTCATCAGTCTCAAAACATGCTTTCTACTTGAGCCCTTGGTATCAGCTCATTTTCCCCCTCCCTCATGAACCCTTGCTAATTTATAAATTATTTTGTCATGTCTTACACTGTCCGACCTCTCCCTTCATCCACTTTTTTGTTATCCGTCCCCTAGGGAGAGGGGTTTTGGTAGATCCTTGAAATCAGTTCCCCCTTTCTACCCCCTCCCAGTATCGCCACTCTCAGCACTGGCCCTGAAGGGATCATCTGTCCTGGATTCCCTGTTTCCAGTCCTATCTGTACCAGTGTCCATCCTCTGGTCTAGCTGGATTTGTAAGGTAGAACTGGGATCTTGATGGTGGAGGAAGCATCTAGGAACTAGAGGAAAGCTGTGTTTCATTGTAGGCAACTATGAGCTTGCGGTGGCCCTGTCCCGCTGGGTGTTCAAGGAGGAGGGTGTCCTCCGGGTGGGGCCTGTGTCCCACCACCGGGTGGGCGAGACAGCCCCTCCCAATGCCTACACTGTCACTGACCTGGTGGTAAGAGAGCTCGAGGGGGAGGAGGGCTCCTGCTGAGTTGGGGCAATCCTGCGCCGGCTGAGGCGGGCACACACCAGGGGCGTCCATCCGTTCATCCCTAAGAAAGCCGGTTTAGCGGCTGAGCGCCTGGCACATGACGGGGTCCCGTTTGCTGTGGGAGGCAGTGGCGGGGTTGGTCAGAGAGAGGACACTGGAGTTGGGTCTCCAGATGAGTGTTCAAAGCGGGGACGGCTGGAGAGTGGGGTGTGCAGCACCTCGGGTGGGTGCCGGACAGGGGGCGGGGTGGGGAACGAGCATGGTCTGGGTCCAGGTTTCCATTCGGCCCCGTGGACAGGCCTGGGTGTGGAGTTCATCTTGTCGAGTAGGCTGGCAGTCTGCGCGGTGCGGGTTCTAGCAGCTTTTCCAGAACCGGGCGCTCCTGGCACATGCCGGGGTGGGCCGGCTCACCGGGCTCCTCCTGCAGGAGTACAGCATCGTCATCGAGCAGCTCTCCAGCGGCAGGTGGGTGCCCTTCGACGGTGACGACATCCAGCTGGAGTTCGTCCGCATCGACCCCTTTGTGAGGACCTTCCTGAAGAGGAAAGGTTCGTGCACGGCTGGGGGAGAGTGTGTCCCCGGGGGGCCGGCCGAGGCCCTCCGTCACTGTGCTTCTTCCCCAGGCGGCAAGTACAGCGTCCAGTTCAAGCTGCCCGATGTGTACGGGGTGTTCCAGTTTAAAGTGGACTACAGCCGGCTCGGCTACACACACTTGTACTCCTCCACGCAGGTGAGCAACCCCAGCCAAGGTCCCGGTCCAGGCAGCCTGCCGCCACAGGGCGCTGCGGCCAGAGCTGACCACCCTGTCCCCGCAGGTGTCAGTGAGGCCCCTGCAGCACACGCAGTACGAGCGGTTCATCCCCTCCGCCTACCCCTACTACGCCAGCGCCTTCTCCATGATGGCGGG